GTGAAATAACAAAAAAAAAAAAAGCTACTAGCCGTGTGACATGAATGATGAAATCATATGGCAAGCTCTTTTAATCGCTGTTTGGCTGATTCCTTGCTCTCTTTTTTTGTTTCTTGAGATTCGTGTCTTATAAAAAAAAAATAGAAAGATGATGAAAATTAAACCTTCTACACTTTAGTTCTTTTTTTTTTTTTCCTTTTTGTGGGTAATGGTGATAGGTATTTTAGCTAGATTGTTTTTATATAGGGGAACAATTGTGGAGGCTATGATGTGTTTTTAGTAGATAGATGGGTGATAAAATTTAAGGTTTTTTCTAGGGCGTAAAGAAGAGTGGGAGGCTAGGATTTTTTTGAAATAGGGCAATAATTATGGAGGCTCCCTCAAAATGAAGTGAAAATGGTGTTTATATAGGGATTTTTTTAGTGTTTGGGATAAAATCAATTTAAGCCTTTCCTTGGATTATTTTTGTCATTTCAATATATATGTTATTATTTGTCTTTAATTAACTTCTTAATTGAAATTTTTTAATCGTCGTTCTCTTGATTTTTTTTTTAATTTTACGATGATTAATTCTCAATCAAGTTTCTTGATTTTTATTCCTTTTTAATTACATCTCTAATTAAATCTCACTTAGTCCTCGCTTTTCATGTCATTTTCAATTGGATTCCAAATCGTCTTGTCAATTTTATTCATTCTTTTCTTTTTTAATTAAAAATGGGGAGTAATTTTAAGAAATTAAAATCCAAAAAATTTATAAAATGCCTAAAAATCATGAAACAAATAAACTATGCAACATTCCATTTTTTTTTGAATTTATTTATTTTATATGAAAATAAATATGGGGTGAAAATGGCTTATGACATAATCCATCATTCATTTTTATGTAATGGTTAGCAAGGGAATATTCCTTCACTAATTGTTGAAGTTGTCGCCAATTAGTGATGGAACAAAACTCGTAGCTATTTCTCAATAAAAATTAGCAATGAATTAGGTTAGTTAGTTGCTAATTTTTGTTAAAAATAGGCAATCATTGAAATTCAAAATTAACAATGGACATTTTAGTTTGTCATTGATTAACGATGGATTAGCGATGGAGTCATGTCCATCACTAAAATTGAATCTCTAAATTAGCAGATTCCCCTTTCTTCTCCATTTTTTTCTTTCTCCTTCCCTCTCCTCTCTACCCATCGCTATCGCGTACAATAGCACCTCAAAACACCTCACAAAGGCCTCCCCTTTATGCTCCCCATCAATCTCCAACCAAATATTTTCATAAAAACAATCATGGTTTCTCCTCTTTCTTGGGTGTGCTCTGCCTTCCATGCATACCTCTCTTTCTCTATTGAAAAAAAAAAAATCCAATTATGTATATTTATTTGTCATATTTCATATTTCATACAAATAAACTTGAAGTTTAAAATAAATTTGTTTAAAATATTAAGAAAAATCAACACATAAATGCCACTAAAGACAACCTAAAAATGAAAAAAAAAGCCATTGCATAGAGCATATAAGTGTAAACTTGAAGTTTAAAATAAATTTGTTTAAAATATTAAGAAAAATCAACATTAAATGCCCTAAAGACAACCTAAAAATCAGAAAAAAGCCATTGCATAGAGCATATAAGTGTAAATAAATAGTAATGAATAGTATTTTGAGTGTACGTGAATACTATCATAAATGGGAAATACTTCAAATTTTTTATTATTTTTTTAATGTTTCTAAGAGTATTAGAATTGTTGAGTGTATGTATGTATAAATCTAACTTATGAGTGATTTTAGCATAACTCATGAACAAACTAAAAAATAAACTATTATGAAACTAAAAAAAGAAAAAAAGAAGAAGAAGCGATGTGTATTTCCTTGTAATGTATGTGCTAAGTGGTATGAAAAAAGGAATTTTTTTTCAGCTTCACTTGACACTTAGGCACACATCCACACACTCAAGTAAATAAAGTTTGCTCTTTTATTTTTATGTAAGTATAATTGTCAAGAGAGAGAAATTGAAAAAGAAAAAGAAAAGAACATAAGGATTTATTTATTCTTTTGATAAAATTCTATAGGAAGAAAGTAATGATTTTTTGTGCATAAATTTGATGTTTTCTTGAATATTGATTTTTACATACTACAATTATAAAGAATTGCAAGTGTTCAAAGTGGTAATCTCGCACAATATTGGATTTTGTAAAAATTCAAATATTTTACATATTTTAGATTTCGATGGTGAAATAGATTTAACTAGAGAGGTAACTTGTATTATCGTCAATATTTTTGCTTTTCAAATTCAAGAAAAAAGTTAAGTGATTGTATTATTTTGTTAATTATATTGGATTATTTTGAAGTTGATCGTGTGATTTTTTATTTTACAATAGAGAAAGTTTTTCATGTAAATTTAGTGTTTTTGTAGTTGTACTTTTATAATTGATTTGCTTTATGTTCTTAGTATGGGTCCGATTTAATTATTTTCTCATGAAATTTATTTTATACAAAATGAGATTAAATTTCTAACATGAAAATTCTTCTTTTGAGCTGGATTTGGCTTTGACCTTCGTGCATTGATTTAATTGTTGTCGATTTTTATTTTTGTTTTGAACTTCTTACTATCCTCTAAACCTTTATTCTCTCGTCCGGATCGAATCTTTTTTCTATTTTTTTCTTTTCTTTTTTATAAGCCAAACAAATGATAGAAAATTACCAAATTGCGAAACCAAATAGCAAGAGAGAAAAAGCATTTCAGCTTAAATGCTAGTCGGATTTGAAAGAGTGGTGTGGTTCAAGCTAGTTTTGGAAATTCAATTGGAGAAAGGAGCTTCGAGATTTGGAGGTTCATGAAGTAGAAGGGCTAAAAAATTTAATTTCCAATATTCACTTGAATCAAGGTGTTGATGATAAAAGGATTTGGGCTTATGACACAAAAGGCTTGTATACTCTCAAGTCTTGTTCTTCAATCTTAGATTCAATTTTGCTACATGGAGACTCACCTATAGTTTCTTATGTTTGGAAAGGCTTAGCTCCTTGAAAAGTAAAAGCTTTTGTCTAGTTAGCAGCTCATTGTAAGTTACAAACAAGGGATTTTCTTTTCTTTATTGGTCTAGTGGAGTATTCAGCCGGCGTATGTCCTTTTTGTAATGAATATCAAGAAACCGCATCTCATCTCTTTCTTTATTGACATGAGATTTGACGGTTGTGTTCTAAAATCTTTTCATTGGTATGGTTATTCATGGATTGTCCCTATATTTGTGGATAATTTTTTTCAGCGAGTTGAGTTTTTATGTTTATGGGCATATGCGAGAAAAAGTCCGGTTTATTGTTTTCTATTCAAGTCTATAGTCAATCTGGCTAGTGTGGAATGATCTTATCTTTGACAACACCACTTTTGATTAAGACAACTTTCTTTCATTGGTTTTTTATAGAGTGATCATTTTGTTTATTTTGAAAATGATCTTCTCCTTAGATCAAATAAAATCAAAAAGTGGGCTAATTCTTCAAGAAGCCGTCAATTGGGCTCAATGAACGGATAGTTCATCTTCTTTTTTTTTTTTTTTTGCTCTTTTTTTTTTTTTTTTTTTTTTTTTTTTTTGGGAGTTTGCCATTTAGTTTGTCTATTTTATTATATTCTAAACTCTTATTTTAGCCACTTTCTTGATGGCATTTTTCTTTATTGATCGATTTTTATATTAAAAAAAAGCGGGTTGGATCTTTATAGGTACAAGTTTACTATTCAAAGAGGATTTATTTTTATGGAAAAGTGTCTGGTTTGAGGGCTGCAATAGAAGTGAAGGTGGATAATAACTATGCCTCAGTCGTGCAACGTAATTTTAGGTTTGAGTTACACAGGAATTAGTGGGCTTTTGTAAGGGAGACTCCTCATAATAAAACAGTTTTATGGGTTTGGGACTTTTTTTTTTTTTTTTAATAAAAAAAAATGATTCGGATATAGATCGATTTGTATAAGGGTATTTTTATGAAAATTTAAGATTTTTTTCTATAAGTTACGACTTTTGCTACTTAGATTTCATACTGTTTCTCCCTTTCTTCTTTCACATACAGGATAAGCATGCAAAATTTGCAAGCCTAACAATTATACAGATCAATATTTTGGCATGTCATGCTAGCTTACATGAAAATCTATCTCTCTCTGTTTTTTTTTTTTTTTTTTTTAGAATAGTAAAAGGTACAGAATAGCAGATGTGTCCTGCTTCTCATCTTGCTAAATTTCATATTTTTGATTAATTTATTAGTAGAATGGCAATGGATCGGGACGGGATTGGTATTTCATGCATTCATACCGGATTCTATAATACTCATAACCATCACTGTATTCAGTTGGATTGGGTGAATTAAGGTTCTTTTAATCAAATTGGCTTGGATGCTTATTCCTATAAATTAATTTTCTGAAAAAACTCAATAATACGCGCGTATATTGAACCAGACTCGCGCTAAGGCAGAGATCCTACTAGTTCATTAGAATACAGAAGATTGGATTTGAATCCACTTTTTTAGAAACGTGATTTCAAAGCTAACGTACAATTGAATTGAGTTTAATTATCTGAATTAAGTGAGAAAAATAACATAATAATGAGTTAAGTTATTATTATTATTATTATTATGTATTAAGTATATTCATCTAATTTTAATTTAATGTTTTTTATTTAAGAAACATGACCGTCATGTCGAACATAAATCCAGAACACCACTATTTTTAGAAGTGAAGTTTTAATAAGAGTCACTGGTTTCGTCCCTGAGAAGAGGAGCTAGTTTCGGTAAACATCCTTTCTACATGAACCTGTATTTGCCATATTCTCATCAAGATCCACAAATCCAACTCCAAAAATAGAGATACAGAAGAAAGATTACACAAAAATCTCCGCCTTTAGAGGTTCACCACTTGCTCTATCCACTTGAAGCCTCTATAAAACTGATTGTATCCCCTCTTTCACTTCAAGGGAGTAAATAAATAAAAAAAACATCAGCAGTGCAAATTAAGAAGATCTTGGAAAATGGCAAACAAAGTCGCTGCACTGTTGGTCTTGTGCCTTGTCCTTGTTGCTGCAGTTGAGCTTCCTAAAGCTGCTGCTGATCAGTTCGGCTCCTGCTTCAGTACCTGCGAACAGGAATGCCGATCTGGTGGCAAAGGCCAGACCTTCTGTGAAATGAAGTGCGACACTGACTGCTTTGACAAGGAAATTGGAGGTAAGATTAATATGCCCTTGTAACAAAATTGAGGTCATTACTTTTTCCATTTTTTTTCCTCATAGAATAGTAATGTGATATATCTCGTTAATTAATCATCTTTTTAATTGTCCTTGTATGTGTTTGCGCAGCCAAACTCCATATCACGCGTCCTTGAGCAGCACAAATGTGTAAACTTGGTGGATCGATGGCACGCTTTCTCCCTGTAAACGAGAGAATTAATTGTATCAAATGATAGAGGAATTCATTAACAATTTGTATTCTTTCTCATTTGTAATAAGTTTATAAATCTGCCAAGTTTTTTATCCTCTTCTTCTACTATCCTACACCAAGCTCATTTACAGTGTTATCGCTATTGTTTTTTTACTTCTTTTACAACTCTTTTCTCGCATGCACGTCTAGATTGTTTGTACCAGCCAAACGACCTATCAAAATTTTTGGCTGAATTCATAAAACGTAAAATGCTTACGGTATGCATGGCATATATCCCAAATTAAGAACTCCTAACTGCAACAAAAGATACAATTGCACGATATTGAATGGGAAAAAAACAAAATGTAGTTTATATTAATTTATCCACTGAACCACATAATGTTCAGATCCTCCCAATCCATGTTTGCAATAACAGGCTGTTAATGAGCTCGAGATCTCTATACTTTTGATTTTTTTTATTTATTTTTAAATGGTTCCTTTAAAAAAAAAAAAAAAAAAACAATTCTTAATCAAATTCTTACACTTTATGTTTGTTCCCAGTACTGTTATTCCCTCCGCTAACTTTAAATTATTCCTTGGAATACGCTCTTTTATATTTGGAAAAGAAAATAAATAAAGAATTTTAAAAGCCTGAAAAGATAAATATAAAAAAGAAAAGAAATTATTTAAAATTAAATCCCACCAATGAATTTTTCCTTTCACACAGTCACACATAATTTTAAAATTAAGAATAAAATTAAACTATAAAAAAAAATATCGAATTAGTGTTATAATGAGTTCATACTAAAAGAAGAAAAAAAAAGAATTAAAACTAAAACTAAAAGAAAGAAAAAACCTAGATTTTCCCTTTTTTCATTAAAACCCAATTATTACGAATAATGTACAAACCCAAATTCTCGTATTTTTTGGTTCAATAAACACAATTTCGTTACATTATTTTCAATTTTTTTTTTAATCGTTTGGATCTACAAAATTGGTGGGACTTTTTTTCCTTTCTAATTTTATGTTTTTTTTTTATTTTTAATTCTTTACCTATAAATTTCTTATTTTTTTATGAATTTTTTTAAAAGAGCATGTTCAATAAATATTTCAAAATTAATTGCCAAATAACACTATTAGTGACGGAATGACTAATAATATGGATGCATCTAAAGTATAAGTATTTGATTAATATTTTTTAATGGATCTCTAGATTTATTAACTGTTAGAAAACATAAGAGGACATATAGCATGGTATGTACTCTTATCTGTAATAATTTTATCTATTTAAAAGAATGACAGTTTATGGGTTCAAAACAAGTTCCCTCTCAAAAGAAAAGGAAAGCTTATAGAAGCAGTAAATAGTTAGTAAGATAAGTGCGTCATCATGCTATCAATTGAATTGATTACCGCTTTAAAGTCTTCTTCTTCATCTTCTTTTTTTTTTTTTTTTTTTTTTTTTTTTTTTACAACCAGGGCCGAATTTCCAAAGCCAAGCTACCAAACCTGTAATCGCCTATACTGCAAAAATCTCTCCATAATAAAATTCAGAGGCTCGGGAAAGAAGCAAGTATTCTTATCTAATTAAAACCAAAATTAGCTAACAAGTCTGCACAAAAGTTAGCTTCTCTATACACATGAATATTATTCACAGTCCAATCTCTATGTAAGAGACGAATGATATGCTTCAAAATCGAAATACTATCCCCAATACCACCAGTTTCACCTTTTATAAGGGACAAGACAGTAGCAGTGCTTGATTATCACACGAGAAATAAATATAATTTGTTTGTATTGTATTTTGGAGATTATGCAGTGCAATACATATAAGATAGCTTTTAAGCTTATTTGTACAGTATAAGATTAGAAATTATACCTAACTTTAGTTGCTAATCTATATCTGAAAGAATCTATGTTTATCAAGTAAAGTAAAGTAAAGTAAATTGAGGTGTCTGTTGCTAAACATTATCTAACAGCTCTCCTAAAACGAATGGCTTTGTGGTAAGAGTTTGAGCTAGCTTTTTTCTAAAAAAATTCAAATCTTTCTCTAAGAATCGGCTTTGTAAATACATCAGTTATCTGATCTTTGGAAGATAAGAATTGAACCTGCAGCTTCATCTTGTTAACCAAATCACAAGCAAAATAAAAGTATATATATTTTTATATTTTGGTTCTGACATGAAAGATTAGATTGACAGATTAATATGTTTCACCTAATTAAATTGTCACACCATGACACTGGACCTGTATCTGATTGAACATCAAGTTCCTATAGCAAGGATTGTAGCCATATAAGCTCGACAGTAGTACTTGCCAAAGCACGATACTTCAATTCTGTGGATTACCTGGCAATAGTTTATTGTTTTTTGTGCAGACTAGGAAACAAGATTGTTCCCTATATAAATTGCAAACTCACTGGTTGATCTTCTATCATCTGGGCAACCTGACTAGTAGGCATTAGATAACAAGGCTTAAAATTACTGAGAGGCATTCTTGGTGAAGTGAAGACCGCAGTTGACAGCTTACTGAATATATCGAAGTACCCTCTTTGCTGCTTCCAATGCATATCAGTTGGAGAACGCAAAAACTGACAAAGTTTGTTGACTGAATATATAGGTAACATCAAATCTGGTTAATGTGGCATAATGCAATATTGCCCCAACCACATGTCTATATTCCTTTAGATCTTGCAGTACAACACCTTGATCTTTAGGCAATGGAGGCTGTGAGAGCATGGTTGACATAGGACTACATGAAGCCATTCTTGTTCTGATCAGCAAATCTTGTAAATATCTACGCTGAGAAAGAATCAAACCAGTATAATTCTTATGCACTTCAACTCCTAGAAAGAAATTCAACTCTTCCAAATCTTGAATTGAAAATTCCTTCCCAACAACCATGTTGACAGCAACTGTATCATTTCCAGTCACAATAATATTCTCAATATAAATGAAAATGACTTACAGAACGTTTAAATAAACAAAGACATATCAATGCTCGATCCTTGAAAGCTAACACAAAAAATTTTATAATCTCTTACACAAAGCTCGAGGAGCTTGTTTTAAGCCATAAAAAGACCTATTAAGTTTGTAAACAAAGTTAGGCCGTGTATAATCCTCAACCTACAGGTTGATTCATGTAAAGAACCTCAGTAATACCGCTATTTAGAAAGGCATTTGCTACATCCAACTGTCTTAAGACCTATCCATTAGAGACAGCTAAAGTAAGAATGGTACGGATATGTAGTGGTGGATTTGATCATTGGACTAAAAGTTTCAGTGTAGTAGAGATGTCATGCTGCTACGGGAAACCCTCGGCAACGAGTCTAGTCTTGAACCGTTCTATGCTGCCATCTTCCCTTTTCTTGAGTCAATAAATCCATTTTTTTGCCCACGACATTGGCTATAATAAGCTTAGGTAACTAAGACCATTTGTTGTTAGAAACAATTGCCTTAAATTCTTCTTCCACAGCAGCATGCCAATCTGCATATTCATTTGCTTGATTAACAGTTCGAGGTTCTTATCAAGTGACCAACCTTTCGAAGTAGCCATAATAAATGATTTCTTTATCATGGAAAATTGTCTAAGCTTCATTGAATGTGTACTTTGAATAACATTAATTGGTGGAATAACCTTATCACATGATGTTTTATTGCTAACCATAGGATTAAGATCAAACACATATTTGAAGTCTTTCTATATTTAAAACTGAAATTATTTGTGCCCTAAAGATGTATGAGTGGGTGTATTTGGAGGTTAATTTTGAGTGTTTGTAGTATTTGAAGCTTGAATGGGAAGGTAAGAGTTTTGATAAGTAGGTATTTGATGATTTATAGTGGGTATGCCTTGGTTGTTATATGGGCTGTAAGGAAAGACATGAATCCCGCATGCCGGACCTTGGATATCAATTATAAGGAGCCGATGGAACTATAAGTCACAGGAATTGGTCATCGTTGCTTTTGATCTGCATGGGGATTAGGAAAAAAAAGTTTTCACAAATTGTATATGTCATGCAATATATTGTTAGTATAGATGCTTAAGATCCAATCATGTTTGAATGGGCTTAAGTTATTGTATCATTGCATGATTTATTATAAAGAAGTCTTTTTATTAATTCTTTTCATTTACATTTATTGATTTAATAGAATTAGATAGAATTCCATATGATATGCATTTGTATTAGTAATTGATCAAAAAATGTAAAGACAAACATTAATGTACATAAATGATATCATTAAATGTCTCAATTCATAGCATTGTCAAGAATGTACATTGACTATATGCGGTTTGACTTGTAAGTGCTATGTTCATATTATATGATAACAATAGGAGATCTTATACCTATTGGCATGATGATGCTAAAACAAGCACTTAGGTGATTTATGTTAGAGAACATATCACCGGACTTAACTCGTCATGAGAACCCATTTGGTTTAGTCTATAAGAATCTCATATAAGATGGGTACAAGTGGTCCTTAGATTTGAAGTCATCACGGTTATCTCATTAGAGGATTTATGCACTTTGACACTCGTTTTGACGGACCCGAGTAAAGGGTTGTACGTGGACAATTTGTTGGGTGTACTAGGAATCTAATATGGGTAGTTGTATGACTAAGATAAGACATGTCATTCTTTGTATGTTAAAGAAGTTATCACATTGTATTTCCATGAATGTTTGCTCAAGAAATCTATTATCAAAGTAGGAGTACACTAATAGAGTATAGTTGGTTTACTCTAAGAGCCAAGACATTTAGGATTCGAAGAAAACTTTTGTGATCATAATCGAACAAGACTTATAACCTAGTTCGAGATCACACTATGATAAGTTGACATGAGGACTGAATTATATGATGACCATGCTCGTGAAAGGTAATAATGGATTAATTAATCCTCCTAGAGAATTGGGTAGTCATGATGCCTTGCTAGAGGCCAATCTTGATTTCCGTATCAAGAGATAAAAGAGGA